TCTTCCTACACCCTTCTTCCACGTCTCCTCGAGCGTCTTGAGCTCAGCACCCGCGCTATCCTGCTGCGACCTCCTCGCCATCTCCACCTCTTCTTGCTGCTTGCCCAAACCCGCCAGCTCAGCCTCGACGCCCTTGAGTATATCCTCCAGCTGCGAGTTGCCCACCAACCACGCGTTCTTCCCGAATTTCTCCAACAGCCCCAACTGCGTCAGCCTGCCCTGCACATACTCCGAGCTCGTGTACGCCTGCTTCAGCGCCTTATTCCACCGCTCCAGCAGCTCCGGCCTCTCCTCGTCGCTCGTCGGGGTCGTGCTCTCGGGCGCATCGAGATCCTCATAGCGCTTCAAATCGACGCCCGACAGCTTCGACGTAGGGTGATCGTCGAGGCGCGCATGCTCGCGCGTGATGAAATCGGAAAAGGTGGGTGTGTATTTCGTGGCTGCTGGTATAAGCGCGGGATGCATGTCTGTCGTGTCTACGCCCGCGGCTCTGATATCGGCGTTGATGGCATGGCGAGCGGCGACTAGGCTGGCAGCTGAGAGCTCCGTATCGACGTCTAGAAGTGGTTAGCGAGGCAATACGGGGGTTATCAGTCCAGATGTCGCGCGTGACTGGGCGCATCGGACATGGTTGCTGTGTTGGGGCAGGAGTAAATTGGACGTACAAGGGAGATGGTCGTAGGATTCCTGGATGAGGGGCATGAAGGGCAAGCGACGTGCAGCGGGCCGGGATAAGGGCGAGGTGGATGGCAGATGGTGTATTGGATGCGCAGGTGAAGTGGAAGGGTGTCGCGAAACTAGAGAAGCAGGCCTGCACGGGTAGATTTAGGCACTGATCGCGTCCGGGCTCCCCGCCAACCAGACGGCGAGGAACCCCGCAACGTCATGCAATGCAGGTGCCAGGCGCGACTGTCAAGCTTCGCGCTGCTGTGTGGCCAGAGGCGATACTTTTCCTGCCCTGTCTATCTCTCTTCCCTGCTAATTGACTCTACTCCCATGTGCAACCCTCTACACCTACACGTCTGGCACGCGTAGCTCCCGGTGCCAGCAGTAGCGTACAAGAACCTCGCAGCGCGCCCCGTCCAACGGCTTCCAGCTTCTTTCCGCACACTTCCGCCCAGACCTCTCTTCGCGTCCATGGCGCGCTCACACATCGCAGTCGCACTGGGTGCGGCCCTTGTTGCCTCGTTGATTATCGCCCAGCTCGTTATCAACCTCGGATTCCCCGTCGTCGACTTTTGGCATGCGCGCCTCGATCAGACGTACAGCGGAGCCCAGCAGGATGTCTTCAATAGCGAGAAGCAGGATGGAGGGCAGGCTGGCGATGCATCTTCGTACCTTGTCGGCGTTGGCAAGGCGGATATCACTGGGTAGGTGGCGAGAATATACTGGGTGTGAATGTACTAACGTGGCCACAGTCCCGTCGTCGAGCTCAACATGATGGGCTACGCCAACTCGTCGCAAATCGGATCTGGACTCCGCCAGCGCCTCTACTCCCGCGCCTTCATCGTCGGCAACCCGGACGAAGCCAGCGAACGCTTCGTGTACCTCGTTCTCGACACCCAGTCCGGAGACACTGCCATCCGAAATGGCATCTTGGAAGGGCTTCAGGCCATGGGCTCCGAATACGCTGTATACGGGAAGAACAATGTCGCCGTGACTGGCACCCACAGCCATGCCGGACCGGGAGCCTGGTTGAACTACCTCCTCCCGCAGATCACGAGTCAGGGTTTCGACAAGCAGAGCTATCGCGCGATTGTGGACGGAACGCTTCTGTCTATCAAGAGGGCGCATGAAGGACTTACCCTGGGAACTGTCAGCGCTGGCAGTGCGAAGATCGCTGATGCGAACATCAACCGTAGTCTGTTCGCCTACCTCGCCAACCCCCAAGCAGAACGCGATCGCTATACAGACAATGTGGACAAGACCATGACACTTCTAAAGTTCACGAGAGCCAGTGATGGAAAGAGCATTGGAATTCTGAATTGGTTCCCTGTCCACGGCACCAGCATGCTTGGAAACCAGACGCTCATTGCTGGAGACAACAAGGGCGTGGCGGCGTACCTGCTGGAGAAGGACATGGAGGCCAATGCGGCCGACTCAAATGCTGCCGAGGGCTTTGTGGCAGGCTTCTCGCAAGCTAATGTCGGTGACACGACGCCTAACGTACTCGGCGCCTATTGCGAAGACGGGTCAGGCCAGCAGTGCCGACTCAACGACAGCACCTGCGGAGGAAAGAGTCAGGACTGCCACGGTCGTGGACCGTTCTTCGGCCTGGACGACGGAGGCCACAAGTCCTGCTACGAGATCGGTAGGCGTCAGGCCGAGGGTGCCAGGAGCATCTACGACTTCAATGCTTTCACGCCTATCTCCGGCAAGGTCCGCTCGTTCCACACCTATGTCGACTTCTCCAACTTCACCTTCACCCTCAGCAATGGATCCGTCGTCCACACATGTCCCGCAGCCATGGGCAACTCCTTCGCAGCCGGCACATCCGACGGCCCCGGCGCCTTTGACTTTGTCCAAAACGACCCCGGTGCGCCCTCGAATCCCTTCTGGAACCTCGTCGGCAGCGCCATCGCACCACCAAGCAAAGAGCAAAAGGAGTGCCAGTACCCGAAGCCCGTCTTACTTAACGTCGGACAAGCCAACGTACCATACCCCTGGTCTCCAAACATCGTCGACATCCAAGTCCTCCGAGTCGGCCAACTCGTCATCATCGTCTCCCCCGGTGAAGCAACAACCATGTCCGGCCGCCGCTGGCGCGAAGCCGTCCACAACGCCCTCATCTCCTCCGCCATCGCCACCTCGCCCATTGTCGTACTAGGCGGCCCAGCAAACAGCTACACACACTACATCGCCACGGTAGAAGAATACGGCATCCAACGCTACGAAGGCGCTTCCACCCTCTACGGCCCCCACACCCTAAACGCCTACATCAACGCCACACTAACATACCTCCCCTACCTATCCGACTCCTCCCTCCAACCCCCTCCGCCCGGCCCCTCGCCCCCGGATAACCGCGACAAATCCATCTCCCTCATCACCGGCGTCGTCTATGACGGTGCTGGCTTCGGCCGCTCCTTCGGCCAAGTCACAACGGACGTCCTACCCACATATGCCCGCGGCGCCACGGTCTCCGCGACGTTCGTCGGCGCGAATCCGCGTAACAACCTCCGTCTTGAAGGCACGTTTGCGGCTATAGAGAAACAGAGCAGTGATGGTGATGGTGGGGAGTGGACGCAGGTTAAGAACGACGAGGATTGGGAGGTCGTGTATCAGTGGAAACGCGTTAATGGGCTTACGGGGACGAGTGATGTTACTATTAGCTGGGATACGGGGATTATGGGAGTTGAGGCGGGGAGGTATCGGATTAGGTATTATGGGGATGCGAAAAAGGTTGGGGGAGCTATTGAGGAGTTTGAGGGGGTCAGTGGGGTTTTTGAAATTCAGTGATGGGGTGTGATGGGTTGGTATTGTATATGAATGTCATGTGATATGTGGGGATGGGGAAGGATGGTGTAGTTTATACCCGGTGTTGGTCAGAGAATGAATGATTCACATGCTGCTTCTCAACTTTGGACGTGTGACAGTATGTGTCAGAGAGGAATGGGGTGACGTGACATACGATGTTCGGTCAGATATGCCGTGATTATCATAATCTGACATCATCGCGATTGCTCGTATCTCTGCTTACGATGGGATTGTTCACTCCTCCATGCGATCTCTTAATCCTTCTTCACACTTCGTGACGAGTATTGTCCACAAATACAGAAGCTTTCCTTGTCGTTCATCACACCGTCTGTGCTATTCCTCGTTCTCAAACTCCATGTCTTCATCCTCAACCTTGATGAGTTGTCTAATCGGTAGATCACGACTTCCTGGCCAGCCTGTCATACCAACCTCCTGCTCGATGACCTGGTGTGAGCCACTATGCACTTCTCCACTGTTGTCCTCCGCCCTCCTAAGAGCCTTCTGCATCCTCCTAACCATCACCCTGTCCTTTCCTTGCTCCCTTGAAAGCAGTTTCTCCAGAGCTTCAACATCGCCGTCGTTGTTACCGGCGGCGCGAGCATCACGTATGGCGTTCTCGCCCTGCCGACATGCTTCCTTTAGTTCTTGTTCCAGGCGTGCTATATCCTCTCTTATTGCTATTATAGTACTTTCTCGCTTTGTGACAAGGGTCGGTTCGGGTTCTTGACGAGGAGGAGAAGGTTGTGTATTCAGTGCACCCGCTTGTGAGCGTGCTCTAAGTTCTGCTATCATCTTGCGGGTGTCAGAGAGCTCTTGCTGGATCTGAGAATCCCGGATCTCTTTTTTGCCCGGCTGATAGCTCATCGCCTCGACTTTTCGTTTTTTCTCTGCTAGGCGCACTCGCTTTGGTGGTTGCTGGGGGTCTCTCGCTCTGTGTCTTCGTTTGCGCGCGGAATATGGAATCTCTCGAAGTCGATTGCGGGCATTCTCTCGTCTATAGGACCTAAGAGTCGTCTATTAGAGTTGTAGTTAGTATATGCATTGGAAAATTGTAGTGTGTCATTCGGTGAGCTGATTAGTAGACTAAGTGAACTCACCTCGCCAGATGGTCCGGCTTTGGGAACAACAGTGGGATTGCGCTCCTCGAGGTCTTGCTCCTGCTTTAGTGGTATCCAGTCTTCGAGCTCGTCATCCTCCTTCTCATCCTTGACTTGCGTTGCGTACTGCTGATAACGTTCCATGATAGCCAGGTCGCCGTTGCGAGTTAGGGCTGAAGTGGTGTGGATAATTCCAGATTGGAGAAGCGGGATGTTGTGAAGTTAGCTAGCGCGCACGTGGCGAAGTTCACGAACGGGGGATTAGCGAAGTGAAGGTGAGTGCGCTACCGAGAAGGTACGATAACGATTGGACACATCGCGGGTGACTAGAAGAGAACATCTCAATGCAAATTTCAAGCCATGATAACTTCTGTATGAGAGCTTCGCATCACTGTGCAGCTTTTCGCATATGTCTTGCGTTGCTCGCTATCATTCATCCTCCATCAACTCTTCATCCTTGATGAAGACTCGTTCCGCGACCTCTGCATCCTCAAGTATCTCTCCTTCCTCAAGCTCCTCTTCACTCTCCTCAGACGGATATTCCTCGAAACCAGTAAAGCGGTATAACCGATCCGCAGCCTCGCGCAACCGCTCTTCAGCCTTCCTCCTTTTTCTTCCTTCCTCTTTCAGCTTCTTGCCCTGATTCTGTAGGCTAAGATTCAACTCTCTGTTACGAGCCTGTTCAGCTGCAACGTTGACCCATAGTTGCCTTATCACTTCCTGGTCTTCCACGTCTTTCTTGTGCTCGATGCTGTTGTTGTACGCTTCAGCGTTGCGCTTTGTGGTTTCGGCCTCTTGCTGCATCTCCTCAAGTCTCTTCTGCAGTTGAAGATTCTCCAGTAACAAGTGCTTGATAGTGCCAGGCTTCTTTGGAGTGGTGATAGCCGCTTGGGTGAAGATGAGGTTTTTCTCAATGTCCTTCATTCGCTGTGCTGAGAATTCTTCGTGAGCCTGTCTGAGCTCCGTTTCGAGACGTTGGATGCGATTTTTATCCTTCGTTGTCTGTCTAACTCGTTTGGGTTTCTTGTTGATCTTTCGCTGGGTGGAGATCATGTCGTTCTGATGATGTACGATTAGCGCATGCCATCAGATATAGCAGTGTACTGATTCTAGGAGCTTGCCATACAAGCAGGTGCACTTACGTGATCGATTGGCTCGACTTTGGGAACGACAGCGGGGAAGCGCTCCTCAGAAAAGCGCTCTTGCTTCACTGGTAGCCAAATCCCGAGCTCATCATGCTCTTCTTTGATTCGCACCCCGTGCTGCTGATGCGGATTCATGGTCGTAGAGGCGCCGTTGTGGCGGGGGATTGAGGTGGTGTGAAGAAATCAAACTCAGAGGCGGGGTGATGATGAGGTGAGCGAGCGCGCACACGTGGGAAAGTTTTTTTTGATGAGGAAGGAGCGAGGTGAAAGTGAGTGCGTTGCCGAGGAGGCGCAATGACGAGGACACATTGGAGGCAGGCGCCAGCGCAAGTGACGAAACCTCGAAGTCTGCAAATGTCCACGATTAAAAGAGCACACCACAATGCGGAGTTCTAGCCATGATAACTCAATGCTTTCGAGCGCGGTGTAGACCGGTCCCCCAACCCACACCATTGCGCCAACCCAAAAGAAACTCGTGATATCATCCCACTACCTAGGTACCTCCCCATCATGACCACTAATCAACAGTCCCCCACTGCGGCGGCCCACCCTCAATCTGCCTAACCTCCTTCTGCCTCTTAACATTCCTCTCATAATGCTCCTCCTTCTCCTTCAACATCCGCCTCTCCACCCCAGCCCTATGCTCCAACTCCTGTTTCCGCTGCTCAATCATCTTGCTCTCAGCCGCCATAGCCTCCCTCAATTTCCTCTCCTCTGCACTCGCCCGTGCAGCGGCAGCATCGCGCTCTTGCTCTTGCACCAAGTTATGCCAGGCTACTCGTTCAGAGCGCTTCATACGTTCCGCCTCTCTTACGCGGTGGACTTCGAATTCGTGTTTTTGCTGCTCCAGGGCGGTGTAGTGTTGTGTTGCTTTGGTTTGTAGTTCCAGTTCGACGGTTTGGCTCTCGCGCTTTCGTCGGAGGATGTCTTTGTGGCTTGTCTCTTCGATCGTGCGAGTGTGCTCGAACTTCTCCTTTTCGTGGCGGATGGAGAGCTCGTGTTCCTTTTGCTTGTCTACGAGTTTGGCGATCGCGGGTGGGATGCCTGTTGCTCCAACGGGTTGGAGTGCCGACGAGGAATAGTAGACTGGGAGACAGGCTTTGTCGCGAAGGAGATCGAGTAGGGCCTTTTTTACGGGAGCGCGGGCGGGCGTAGCGATCAGCTCGACGTAAGAGTAGGGTGAGTAGTGAAGGCCTGAGGCTGCGTCGCAGTAGTCGTGTGCTTCATCGTTGAGGTCTTGCCATATCTCTGTCTCTAGCAGAGCCTCCGTGATGGGAAGGGCGCTGTAGGCGTTGTCGAGCGCGAGGATGACACTAGACTTCTCGTTGCGAGCGCGGAATTTGGGGTTCACGCGCTTGGATAGGAGAAGACGCAGTAGCTGGCGAAGCTTCGAGCGATGCGCGGATGTGGAGACCCTTGCGTTCAGACATACCTCCCCAAGGACATTTCTACCGCCATGGAGACGGGATGGGTAGTTTGGATCATGAGCATGCTCCAACAAGGCCTTCGTGACCTCAACGTTGAGTTCCCTAGCTGACTCATGCAAGCTGCCGTCATTCGCTAGCGAGCATGGCGCTAGTATCTTCACTGTGGCTTCCCCAGACACACTGCTGCTAGCGTAGAAGAGTGCGGATTTGTTCCAGACATCCCGAAGATCCGCATCCGAACCCCGCACGACTAGTGCATTCACTATCTCATGACGCCCCTCACGAGCGGCGAGCATAAGTGCCGTAGTCTCCGAAGCGGCAGAAAGTCGGTCAACGGATGCTCCAGCTTCCAAAAGGGCGGAGACAACGGCGTCCGAAATGCGCTTTTGTGGTTGAGCTAATGCCCAAAGCAGTGCGGGCACAGTTTCGGGTCCGCAGGACGAATGGAGAACCGTGGGGATGGTTATTTCCGGATTCAAGCCGTGCTTCAAGAGTAGCGTGATGAGCGCGCTATTGCGTGGGTACACAGTCATGGTGGTGATGAGTATCGGTGGCTTGTTATAGCCGACACCGAGCTGTTCAAGTATGCAACCGTGATCGAGGCATGACTGTATTGCGGCAACGACTACTTCGTCTTGGAGCTTGGAACTCAATAACGCTGGAACGACGACGTTGAACTTGGGGTTGTGACGCATGAGCTTCTCAAAGATGGTGTGACTGTGCTTTTGTGCTGCGAAGACGAAGCATGCCCCATCCGCCGTGTTGACATCCGCGTGATATTGAAGCAACAGATCAATCCAGGGCTCCGTATACTTACTATGCTCGTTGCTGAGGACGAGTCGCAGAGCTGCGTCGATGGCAGACTGTTCTACTCCACGGGCCAGTAGCTCTTGTGCCATTTCACCAATGCTCTCTTTCTTTCCTTCCAGCATCAACTTCTCGTCGGTGAACAATGTACGGAACGACCTCGTGACGTTAGATCGTGATGGTTGGTGACGTCCACTGAGTATTAATGCCATTAGCGAGCTGTTTCCTGAAGCTACCGCAACACTCAACGCTTCGCCATCGTTGTGACTCACAGATGCTCCTTGTCCCAACAGCAACCTGGTACTGGTTGTGTCATTTGTGGCAACGGCCTGTCGTGTCTCCGCGGCAAGGGCTTGGTCCAGAGCGTCTTGTGGTACTCCTAGCTTCAGTAAAGCATTCAGTATTGGTGCCTTCATGTGAGGATCTTCAATCGCTGTCGTGTACTTGAACGCGGTGCTTAGCAGTCTAGGGCTGGCAGTGAGCAGCCGCTCGATGATATCAATGTTGTCGGGGCCGCCATTGATGGCAATCTGTAAGGTCTGACTGGCTGGCTCTTCTTCAATTCCATGGTTCAGAAGCAAGTCAATGATCTCGAGTGTTTTTGAGTGTCTGCCCGCTCGTGAATCAAATGCTAGAGGTAGGGCTGCCGACGTCGCTGAGGAGTTGGGTCTAGTGTTGCAGAGTAGGCGCAGAAGAGAGATGTCGACTTGTGTCACTGCGAGCGACAAGGCTCTTTCGTCAACATTTGCACCTTTGCGAACGAGGTCTGTTATCAGGGCCCCATCCCGCCCAGCCGACGTGTCCGCAATTGCATTGACTAGAGCTTGATCAACACCAGGACCACTTGCACCGTGCTCTAGTAATAGCCGCGCAATTTCACGTCGCTCCGATACCGAGATCCCATCAGTACGGAAGATGAGCGGAAACACGTTCGCTAGGGTCTCTGGTGGGGGGCGAGCGTTGAGAATTGACTTGAGTGTTCGGATATCTCGATTGACCACTGCAAAATGAAGTGCGCCGTTGTCGCCTGAATCGACAGGCGCGCCAGCACCAAGAAGGAGATCGATCAATTGAGTGTCTTTCTCCTTTGTGGCTTGCGTGAGCAATCGACCAAGAGGCGGACCTGCTGCGCCTTTCTTTAGCAAGGCATCGACTACGCGAAGTCTATCAGGCTGTGGGGTATTGGTCGGCAAAACAGCAAGCGCTGCTGTTGCATGCAGAGGGGCGATGGGGGTCTGGAGAATAGCATCCACCAAGCTCCAGTTTGAGTTTTCGACAGCCTCTCTCAGACACTCGGCATCGTCAGCGGTGGTTGGTACGCCATAGCTGACCATCATCTTCGCGCCAGCAGTGTCGTTGCTTCTTGCCAGACAGATGAGGAAGTCCGGTAGACCACGACTATCGGGAGGTAGCCCGCAGCAAAACAAGAGCTGTAGGAACTGCAGCGTTGCTTGTCGCGTTGGTAGCCTCATGGTAGTGTCGAGCGCATGTTGCAGGTTCGGTTCGTTAAGACGGATCGGGCCAGCGACCAGAGCGATGGCCAGCTTGTAGGCCTGTCTTCCAATCGCCATGTTGAGAGCGCTTGCGGAGTCGAAATTCGGGTCAGCGCCGTATGCTATCAGCAGAGATATGACAGCATCCGAGCCTTGCTGAACCGCTGCAGGTAAGCAAGAATTGATGATCTGAGCACGCAGTGGCTTTGGAGCTCGCAACAAGAGCTTGACGAAGTTCAGGTCATTCGATCGGACCGCATTGGCCAAAGCATTGGGGAAGTTGTTTAGATCTGCTCCGTGACGCAGTAAGAGGCCTATACTTTCTTGATCGCCGGCAGCCAGAGCAGCTTTCAGTCCTTCGTCCAAGGTCTGTTGGTCCGCACCAGAGGCGGCGAGAATGTTGACACCATCGGCTTTCCTCAGGCTTGCGGCCTGCTGCAAGACCGTGCTACGGCGGCGCAATGCTGTGTTGGCCTGATTACTCGATCTTCGCTTCTTGTCGATTGTCTCGATGATGTTCACTTTCGCGCCCAGAGTGAGGAAGGCTTGGATTAGGCCGGGTCCAGTCGTGGGACTGCGGATGACAGCGGACAAGGCTTGGTCGAGCTCCTCCTGCGAGAATTGCGCCCCATCCTGTCCCTTGTCCTTCTCTTTCGAGCTTTTGAAGATGCTCTTCAACACATTCTTGCTTTCGGGATTTTTGGCCCTCCGTTCAAGCAGGATGTTTCGCGCTTGCGAGATGTCCTCCTCGCTGACTGAGACGGCCGGCTGTGTTGGGGCCGGGAGGACTGCTTGGCGCTGTTCGACGGGGATGACGCCGGCATTACGAATGAGGTCTTTGAGGCTCACTCTTCGTTCCATGGTGTATCGTGGGATGATTACTATCGCATACCCAAAGAACCGAGGCAGCGTATTTCTAAAGAGGTTCTACATGAGGGCGTTGCGTAGTGCACACACGTGTAGGCTGAGGCGGAGCTGCGGAAAGAGCAACGACGCTAGCTCGATCCGATTCGGTGAACTCAGGGCCGACGATATGGCCGTCTCACTCGGATCATCACGACGCGACTCTCCGAATCTCCAGCAGCGCCGGTGATCTTAGATACAACACTGTCGCCGGAGCGTTGCTCTCGGTCTTCTACATCGACCGTATCCAACACGGACGAACACGCTTCCTGCCTACTCGCGTTTTGCCACAAGTGCTGACCTCGGAAACCTAGGGCAAGCCACCGCACGGTCTCGAACCTGGAGGTGCAGCCTGGCCTTCTGCTGGCCTTGCACTAATGCGGACCGACTCCTCACTTCTACGCAGGTAAGGTTTCTGTTACGTTCGACGTCTGGGGAAACGGGTGATGACATCCTGCCTGCAGGCGGCGAGCGGCCCACGTGAAGACCAACACGCGGCAAAAGCATCGCGAGACATCTCAACGACTGCGGCGTAGTTGGGTAGCGGTCGCGGTTGTTTCAGCGTGATAGCGGACGAACTGCACACGATATGTTTCCTGCCCCATTTCGGGCCGTCAGCTCATCCCCCACGTTTCAGGTTCTGTGGCAGGTTCTGCAGGTACCCAGGTACCAGTTTCAGCAACACTGTCTGCTAGTCACATGGAACTTCTGTCCTTGATCAGATTTCCCTGTAGCTACGCCGCAGACAGGGTGAGATTGCGGCTCTTCTGGAGTGGCTTCCTTCCCAAGAAAGCTAGGGTTCCTGTCGCCTTAAGTTCGACGACGGCGCCTCGTGGCGTACACGACGAATCTTACAACACAGACTTCGCAGCGCGCCATCGAACTTTGCAGGTTATATCGACGACCTATTATGATCTTCAAAATCTCTTAGCAGCTTGGCCAACATCGAAGGACCCACGGGTTGTTTGTGCAAACGTCGTCAACGCTCTTCTACCGCAAGGCTGGGATGCCTCGTTTCAGAAGACCGTTGGCTATACTGACTCGCGACACATGTGCCTACGCGAAACCGCACTCTCGCCCGACACCACGGCACTTCAACCGTTAATCCATGTACCAACGTATCTTGATCCTGTCGAAACACCAACATCGACCTAAGGATCATGTCAAACGTTTTGACATGTTATCACCCGCATTTGCAATCTAAATCCATGTAGAAGCTACCTGAGAAGGTCCGACGAAGGGATGACAGAACTTTATATAAGTCGTCTGACGTCTTCATCCAGGTTGGACCAGAGCAAGTGCAATTATCCAGCTTTCAGCCTTTCAGCCTCCTTATCTCATTCTTCATTCGATTCTTCGGGCTCTGGTAGCTCTACGTTCGTTCGCATACTCGTTAATTCTAACAACACCTTCTTTCCTATCCATAAGTTCAGGATACACAAAAGTCTTTCGATTTTCAAAAGCACTCGTTACCGACAATCGTCAACATGCATGCCTCACTCTTTCTCACGGCCTTTGCGCTCATCCCAATGGCCATGACCGCGCCTTCGCGCCTCCCACAAATCCATCCTCGTCAGAATTGCGACGATACCGCCAACACTACCGCGCCCACAGAGCCCGCGCAACCTGGAGCACCATCTTGCGACCTCAGCGGCATTCAGCAGCCCGCCTCTGCACTCCCACCACCAACAGCCGACATGTCTCTCGTTCTTGTCGCACTCGGCATGGGCACACAAAACTACACATGCAGCAACGCGACAGCCACACCAGCCGCAATCGGCGCTCTAGCCCAACTCTTCAACGCCTCATGCGAAATCTCATCCAACCCTACCGCTGGCACTGCATCTCTAGGCCGCGTCCAAGAATCCGCATCTATCGGCACACACTTCTTCCTCGACACTACTACTCCCGACTTCGACATCCTTGGTCTTGGCAACACGGTGGCTAAGAAAGTCGACGATACGCCTGCGCCCGATGCGACTAAGGATGTAAAGTGGCTTAGGCTCGAAGCGCAAACAGCCTCGACTAGTGGTGTCAAGATGGTGTACCGTCTCAACACTGTGGGCGGAATGGCACCGGCGACTTGCGATGGTATGACACCTGGGCAGGTGGTTACCGTGGATTATGAAGCGCAGTACTGGGTTTATGCTTAGAGACGGACGTCTCTGTTATGGTGTAATCTCAGAGCTGGCCTCATCTGATCTTTTATGAGTGGTCAACTACGACTGCAAGACGTTACATTTCTTTTCTTGGCCATTCGGTGGGAGGAGGAGAGGATGATTTGTTTTCAGCTACGGTTTCTTTCTTGTTATTTCCTTTGATACACACTATTTTGGGGAGGTGGATTTGCTTTATCGATTATGTAGGATATGTGAACAGCTCAATGTAACAACATGGACATCGCGAGTACAGTTCACATGTGCTTGCAGTCAGCATTTACGCGCTTACTAGAGCAGAGTACTCATGGCCACTCAGACATTTAACGTTTCAATTACTGTTAATCGCATTGAGTCGTAGGGGCATGAGACTTTCCATTAATCCAACTAAGGACCACGTCCATCAAACATTTTTAAGCGCTCGAGTAGATGAATCCCAACTGGTCAACCTCATCGCCCGAACGACCAAGGAAGCCAACAATACCCCGACCAGTCCCCGCAGTCCTCGTAACACAGTCATCCGTCTTGACACCAGTAGAAACTGTCTTCCCACCACTAGTCGTAAATAGCGCAAAGAAAATCCTCGTCTTACCATTCTTCTGACCCTGACACAGCTGCGCAGAAGTCAGCGTCTCGTCCGCAGCCAAAGTCAACGTAGTCGCCTCGCCACCAGTCCCACCATGCGAAAGCGTCTGTCCAGAAGCCAAGCTCACAGAAACAGAATCAACGCGCTCCTTGCCACGGAGCGTGATGGACGACACTTTCGGGCTGGCGAGACTGGAGATGGCGCTCAGATCATTGTACCACGTACCTTCTTCACCACCAAACACATCAGAGACGCTTCGGCGGGCATTCAGGCTCCAGGAAAAGTCGACGAGCACACCGTTGTGGTCGCTCAGCAGATCGCCATTCTCCTGGAGGAACATGTGGCCTGCGTAATCGAACTTCGTGGCCTTGAGCGTTACAGCGTCAGAGCCGCGGTACCAAGTCTTGTCGACGATCTCGCACTCGTTGGTCGTGGAGGGATTCGAGCAGAGAAGCGCGTCGGCGCCCTTGGCGGGTGGAACTCCGTTCTTGACGAGCTCGAGCCAGACATCTGTCATGCCGTTTGCGGTCTTGAAAACGTCGGGGATGTCGTCGGTGCGTGTGTAACGCGAGTTTGAGTCGCCGAAGACGACGACGGCGTTGCCGACGGAGTTGGCCTTGATGTAGTCGGAGACTTGGCGCAGGTTGGCTGCGCGGGCCTTGTTGTCGGCGGCTGTGGTGCTATGGAGGGTTAGTGGGTTGTCATAGGGTTAGACGAAGTAGGGTGACTTACCCGGCATCGGCGTGTAGGTTGTACATGTCGACTACTGCGCCTTCGGCAATCTTGACACGCATGAAAGTGAAGCCCTTGGGTGTGAGGCAGTCCGCACTACTGTTGACAGAGTGTTATGTCAGTGTCGTGTTATGCAATGTGTTTGTGCCATCGTTTGAGCTTGACTTACTCGAAAGTACTGCACGTGTTCCACTTGACTCGCTGAAATCCAGTGTAAGGATAGTTGCTCAAAGTGTTCAAGCCGCTGCCAAATGGCACTCCTCCGCTGGTAGGCGTCCTATATGGGTGATCGTCGTTGGCATATAGTGTGGCATGGTAGTTGAAGTCCTCTTGAACGTTGATGACACCGATATCGTATTGAGAGAACAACTTTCCAATACGGGCAGTGTTTGTTGTCTTATCACCGGGAACATCGTTACCGTTCAGGGCAGCAGGAAGACCAGCGACATTGAATGTGAGGGTGTTGAACGTGCCGGAGGTTTGGGCAATGGCGAGGGGAAGCAGGGAAGAGAGAGCGTAGACGGAAGCCAGAATGGAATGCATCTTGAACTGTGTTGAGGACTTGACAACTTGATCGTGCAGTCTGATCAAATTTCTACCAATGTAGGCTTGCTCTTAAGTATACAACGACTTTGATGTTGACTCGCAGGTGTGGTGCGAGATAGGTTAGGCTACCCTAGACGTCATAACGAATGGTAGGCCAAAGGGATGGCATGTGTGTTTACATGCTGCGCAGTGCACATATTGTTGCAGGCATTGATTTCGGAGGTTTACCGTTGCAGGAAGGACCAATAGCTCACAGGTCTCGGGTAGGTTAGCGTGCCCGAGATCAATGCGAGATCATCCGGGATCCCTGCGCACGTGCGATGGAGATAGACGTTGGGTGGCAGGTTACTCGAGCCTGCGATAGGAAATATAGAGTGAGACGGAGAACTGAGAAGCGTGTGCGATTGTCGTGGTTTGCTTCGCACACTGGCGGTGGTTGTGGTCATAGTTTTGCAGCACCGCGAATCTTGATCCACAGCCCCTCGACTGTAAGTAGCGGCTTGCCCTGTCGATCCCTCATCGTGGCTTTCATCCGCATTTTGTTCCCTGTGTCCCCAAGTACAATCGTTTCAATGCCGACAACACCAGGGCATAACACCGGCGCCAGAAGCTTCACGTCCATGGTGGCTGTGGCTAATCGGCCCTTAAGCACCTCTTGTGCCGACTTTCCATCATGAAGCTGGAGTCTCCAATAGTCTTCTCCTACTTTCATAAAGCCAAGGCCATGTTCAAGCACAGTATTGGCAACCAGGATATGCAGCATGGCTTCGTCCATGAGCGTCAATAATGCGCCACCGTGGCAGATGCCGGGAAAGCCGTTCAAGCCGGTTCCATACTTGATCAGAGATATCGACTTGGTGACTTTGGCGCCCGGCGCCGGCTTCTCGTACAGCTCGAGCCAGTTTCTCACGCCGTTGTTCGCGCGCATTGTGTCGCGACAAAATCGGTCCGTATCTTCACCCGGTTCGGTGCCTCGCTGGCGGTCACATGCAATCCAGCTGGGAGATGTCAGGTACGGTGTAGCCCATGTCAAAGGTGCAAAAGCTTCGAGATGTTCGGATGTTGCCGTCATGGTAGAAAGCGGAGAAGTGGTGTACTGTGTCCAAATCGCAACCAGTGCATCAGAATCTTCCTCTTTATCCTCATTTTCACACTATTCTCCTCAAATTATGTGGTTAGTAATGAATTAAGCGCTGATGGGCGTCCTTCTCTGAAAGGTAGGTTGCTGATGGTGTCTTTCCTATAACAGTTGCTCGTAAGACTGTGGCGTAAGGCTTTGGTGTGCTGCGCAAAAAACCGCCGGATCAGAAGCAGGCGGCAGCAGCCGAGGTAGAAATATCAGTCATGCGGCTGATTTTGCCTCCTGCGCGACGTCGTGAAGCCAACATGCTATGGATGGAAAATGGCAGCATCGGCAGTACTGTACTGGATGATGCAGGTGGTCGAGTGTGCAGCACGCAGGAGCAAGCTGCCAGGTGGAGGCGCGCAATCTTAGCGCGTGTCACGAAGAGCGCTGGCTGCAGCTAGCACTTGGCCTCTTCACCGTCCCACAACCGCCATCGCGTGTTCGCCTCAGATGTCGGTCTTCCTGTAGTCGGCGACTACGCTTAACAATACTCGATTGGCACGCATGCGCAGTCTCCGACATTCTGAAGGCCTACAGATGGCGATTGCGCCACAACAATGCGACATCCTACCCATGCTGGACTGGGCTATCTCGTTTCGGTAGCGGCACATACCACATTGCCTCAACCGGCATCAGGCTGAGTAACTTAACAGATTGCTGCAGCGAAGACTCAGTTACTTACCCAAACTAACGATTACTATACATTGGCAAATGCAACCGCCGAACTACAAATTTCATGATGCCGCAGATGCCTCTCAGAGTCACGTGCTGCTTACTAACTTCATGTAATCGCTCTACAGAACCTATCATCGCGCAGAGAGCGTGCCGAAACATGCCGGTAACTCATCGAACATCATTGCCATGCGGCAGCCGATGCATCAGATGCCTTTGCGGCACTCAAAGTGTCGCCAGCCGCGCAGGTCGATTATAGAGCATGGCACCAAGGGCACCGACGCGGTGGATGGACGGTTTAGTATAAGAGAAGGCGCTCGTTGATGAGCAACGCATCGGCAACCAAACTCCATCTCATTCAGCACGACAAACAAGTCGCGACGAAAGGTGTCATCATGGCCAGCCCCATCAAGAACGTCATCATCCTAGGAGCATCCGGTTCTGTTGGTGCACCCATACTTGACGCGCTCCTCGCGGAACCCTCGTTCAACGTAACAATTGTCAGCCGCGCATCCTCATCAGCCTCGCGCCCATCTCACATCCCCATCATCAAAATTTCGGACGCCTTCACGACAGAAGAGCTCACAGAAGCCTTCAAGGAACAAGATGCAGTCGTAGTCGCGTTATCCACCAGCCCAGTCACCGCTGGCGGAAAAGACGGTCTAGCATTCCGCCTCATCGACGCCGCACTTGCAGCAGGCGTAAAACGCTTCATCCCCAGCGAATTCGGCGCCAACAATCTCGATCCCCGGGCTCGCGCTCTCGTACCGACATACGACCTCAAGGGAGAAATGCTGGAGTACCTCATCAAGACATGCGACGAAAGTCACGGCAAGATGACGTGGAGCAGTATTTGTTGCGGTAGTTGGCTGGACTGGGCACTTGACCCATCAAAGTCTGGTAACTTCCTCGGCATAGATGTGAAGGGGAGGCAGGGGACGGTGTACGATTCTGGGAATGAGCGCTTTGCCGTTACGAGTAGCAAAAACACCGGCCTTGCAGTTGCGCGTGTCTTGGTCTATCCTGAGTTGACCGCAAACAAGCAGATCTTCTTATGTGACTTCACGGTCAGCACCAGGCAGATTGTCGAAGCAGTGGAAGTGGAGACTAAGGCCAAGTTCCATGTTGAGGAGAAGGAGAGTGGCCCGGAGATCAAGCAGTTTCGAGAGAAATTCGAAGCAGGGGATTTGAATGCAACGTTTCGGTTGTTGGCAATCAGTTTCGGGGCTGATGTAGATGTTGGATATGACTTCGAAGCTGAACAAGAGGTGTGGAACAGTAAGCTGGGGCTGCCAAAGGTGACACTCGAAGAGGTGGTTCGCGAGGCTGTGGAGTTGGCAGCACAATCATAGAGGCAGTGGAGGTCTATTTGGGCTTGAAATGACACGAAGGTTACTGTTTCCTAGCATATGCTTCCTTTCTCTACATTCCCATCGCTACCTGGACTAAAATGAAGACACCCTGCGCAAATGGGGACTGGCTTTGAATCAGTATAACACGACCATACTGCGCCCCTCCTCCCTATTCTTTCTTCCCTCTTCCCTCCCATCCCTCTTCTTCAGCACCCTAGATCGTCTTCACCGGCCCACCCGGCGGCGTATACCCCCTCTGCCCCGCCTGTACCTGCCAAAGCTGCACAAGCACCCCCTCCTTATCATCCGGATCATACGCCCCCGGCAGTCCCACACCGCCCGGCAACCCCTTCTCCCCATTCCCACCCACCCTAATCTGCACACACGCCGGATAAAACTGCGCCCCCATCCTCGTCCCCGCAACATGCAGCCCCAGTATCTCATGCCTGAGCAGATACTCACCGGGCTTCAGGCCAGCGGGTATGGTAACGGTCCAGCTGGCGCCTTGCTTGGCGAGGTAGTCGGAGCCCCAGGGAGGGGATTTGCTGGTGTCGTAGCCCATTTGGTCGAATTTGACCTGTGAGGGGGGTATGCGGGGTTAGTGATTGTTTTGTATGGAGGTTTTGTAGGTGTGGATCTCACCCAGGGGGTTCCGGTGTCGCCTTTGAAGGTTGTGCAGTTTGTGCCGCAGGAGGCGAGGTAGTTCATTACGGGGCCCGAGTGGGAGGAGCCCCATTGGTCCCATTGGAGTTTGCTGGGTTGGTGTTAGTGTCTGTGTTGGGCTCAAGGTTGCTGTGTTGATGCGTTGCATAGCAATGAAGGAGGATAAGGGAACATGAGTGGAAAAGATGGAGAGAACATACACCTTATCCCCCGGCACAACCGGTATAACACCTTTCGCTGGCAGATTGCCTCCCACATTGCACGTAATGTCTTTAGACGTAAAGTCAGGAACCGGCCCGTTGTCTTTGATGCGACGGGCGTAGCGGACGGGTTCGGGAGTCAGGTAGTCGTCTTGGCCCACTTGCCAGGCTAGGTACTTGGCTCCGCCATTGACCGAGATAGACTTCAGGTAGCCGTGAGCGGATGCGGAAGTGATGAAACCGAGGAGAGAAATGGCAGAGATGAACATGATGATGGTATTGAGCGAGCTGCAGTGGATAGCAGCTGGTTGTTTCTGATCTTGTCGAACGTGTTCCCGTCGTTGAATGTTGTGGTTTATATACCATGATATTCAAGTCCTTTCTCAGTACCATATGCATACAGTCCTGCAGTGTAACGACGCTCAACCCGGAATCCGTAGATTAGTACAATGCTTGTTTAGCGATCGCCTGCCGCTTTTTGGTGGATTATTCCATGTTAATTCCAGAAGGCGTGGACGTGACTCAATTTAGATTGGGCGCATATTGCTACAGGGCGGAGTGGATCCTCCGTGTCCAAATTGGGCGGCAAGGCGGAACGTCGGACGTTGCTGCAGTCTTCGCAGCACATTGGAACACCGTGTGGCAAAAGGGGCTACGAAAGCTTGGAGTTATTGAGAGAGATTTGATGGATTCTTTCTATGTTCCTCATGAGCTCGTCGAAATAGCAACGTGAAGATCACGTGCAGAGAAAGTACTTGTCTGCAGATAGATCTATACATCGCCCCGAACGCCACGCATACCAACCATCAGTACCTCTTGTATCTTCCCCGACGATGCCTAGCACTCGAAGTAGCAGGTCGACAGCCTATCCCAATAGTCCCTGTCCTGGTTGACCCACTCAGTGCGGTTGCACGAAGCATCCTTCCAGCCCTTGAAGCTATCGTCGAATTCGATAGTGCCAACCATACCGCGAGTATACTGGAACTTGAACCACTCCCAGTGCGCACCAGGAGTCATGTTGATCCACCTGAGGCTGAAGGTGTCGGTGGGCTTGAAGAGACCGTGGATCTTGAGTGCTTGGCCCGGTGGCTTGCCGTCGATCGACTTTCCGTTGAGCATACCCTTGAGAGGCTCACCGTCATCCCAACTGCGTGATGTTAGTGTATGTAATACTGTCATGAATGGCAAGCCGGTCATGGTGAGAGTAGTCTACGTACGTCATGCCTTCGATGGTCTTGTTCTGGCCGTCAGACAGGGCGACCCAGACGGTGGTGTCGATATCTTGCGGGTTCTGGGGCTTCTTCTCGACGATGTTGAGGTAGAGGTAGCACATGCCGTGAGAAGGTGGATCTTGTCTCGCGACGGCGTCGGAGGTCAACATGGCAACATCGGAGGATGCAGTGGGCACCGCAGCAGTGTTGGCGACGTTGCAGATGCTCAGGACAATTACCAAAGCGGTGTTGAGGAGCTTCATCGTGAAGGAGGTGATGTACCGTCGGTTGTGGTGTGCTTTTGTTTTAGAGAGTGTAGGAAGGCTGGTTGCGTCAAGGGAGGGAAATTTGCAGAGGTGCAGAGACTTTTGGACGGCAAGAGATTACAATAGCAGTAAGCGGTGAAAACGCGGATTCGATGTGAAGCCCGCTAGAATATTGAGAGCCGACTGCGGAAGGCACGACTAGCGGTGACGTCGCGTAAACACAAACAATCAGCTCACCAAAAATGCACCAGACGCGCTGCCCATACTTTTCGTAAAAAAACACAAACACGCCGAAATAAAAAGCTGATTCGCTGTCATCAAGAGCCCACTTCCATATCATACAATCTTCGCTCCAAACGCCAATGTAATGCAAATCACAAACGGCTGGCCCAGACGGAGCTTTCCAGCACCGTAAGAGAGGGAGTCATTGAGCGACGATATCCACCAGGATGATTAAGTATTAAGCAAAGGTCGTGTTACGTTTCGTGCTTCCTCGTCAATCTCCTCTTGCGTTGGGGGTGTCAAACGAACACTTCGGAGCCAGCCGTACCACCGTCAAACGTGCTTGTAGATAACCGGGCTCTTGGGTGGGGTGTCCACATTGATCGAGTCTACCCTCTTCCTGGGGGTGCCGCTGGGTGAGCCCGAGCCCACGTTGTCGTACTCGTACCAAACGCCTTTGACTCGCCTGTTCAGCTTCCGAGGAGGTGGGCTGATGCGGGTTGCGAGAGCGTTGAACGAGCTAGTGGATAGTGACTGGTTGCTTGCGGTATCAGAAATGACATTGGAAGTGAACTGTGTGACCGAGTCGCCAAGGTTCTCGATAGTACGCATCATACCCTGGCAGGTCTGTGACAGCTCGATCTGGTTCTTGGATAGAGTCTGGAGTTGAGAAATGGTCGTCTTGAGTATGTCCTTGGTCTGCTCCTGAGACTTGCGCGTTTGCTCTTGAGATTTCCGTGTCTGTTCTTGCGATATTCTGCTCTGCTCGTGCGACTGGAAGGATGTGTTGGACAGGGCAATGTAGTGTGACGCGTTCTGATCGACAAGCGCTTGAAGCTTGATTTGGGATTCGGAGATGGCCTTGATCTGGATACTGTTCGACTCGTTGATCTCTTGCATCGCTTGTAGGCCTGTTGATTGCGCGACCGATAGCGCGTGGACTTGCTCGGCATTGCTCTCGACTATACTTGCCAGCTGAGTCAGACTCGCCGCCAGGCTGTCGATAGCCGATGTGCTCGCCTTCTCTTCGCATGTGTGCGGAGGCGCGACGGCGGGAACACCGTTCGCATGTTGCAGGGGTAGGACAATCGGCGGGCACGTCGGGCTATCCTGGCATGTGTAGAACCACTTGTTCTGAATATCGGAGAACCTGGGGTCTTCCATTATGAGCTCCATGTCTTCGCTCCTGACCACGAAATACTGCGGGCTCGGTCGCGACGACGACGTATATTCCTGTTGGACCAGATTCCACCATTGCGTGCAAATGGCGGCCGAGGCGAAGGTGAGGATGTACGGAGGAGATGCAGGATAGTCGCTCTATAGCACAAGTCAGTACGCCGTTGTTGGCCGGTCGATGGCACACAGTGCAATTGGCATCGCTCACCCTCTGCGCGTAGGCATAGAACAGATTCCCACCCTCTTCCATCTCAACCCTCTTTTCCTGGGCCGGCCGGCTCTGGCTTCGTTTGCGTGGCGATAGTGATCCAGTCGCTGGTGGGGTGTCGGTGTTCATCATCAGTCCAGCAGCGAGCGAGATGCTCGGCTTCTTCCTCATGTTCTGAGGCTTTCGCTCTGGTGATGTCTGTCGTCGACTATGACTGTGTATGCGCTTCTCGAAGTTCGAACTGGAAGACTCAAAGACAGCCTGCGACATGGAAGATTCCATGAGCGCGGCGAAATCAGGCATGCTCTGTGGACGCGACATGTCTGGATGGGAGGGTGATTCGGGGTCGGAGGTGCAGTGGCAGCAGAAAGTATCGTCGAAGTTATTGGCCAAGTGACACCTAAACGACATAAAGAGACATATGGACGACACAATCTCTTGTAAGCTCAAGAACAAATAAAACACCAAGTGACCGGGGAGGGGCTGGTGAGCTATGGTAGTGTATGAGGTTGCGGCTGGCCGTCATCCCTGTCGATGACCTCACAGTACCACGGCTTTACTGGGATGCGCGTGCGCTTGGGGGTTCTGTACCAGCGGAAGACGGGAAGTCTAGATGTCAATGGATGTCAATTGTCTCATCGCATGCTAGCTCCCTGGCTCGCGGGAAAAGCATCGCAGCGAACGAGGGGCTCCAGCCTGCTCGACACGAGAGGACGCGCATGTTGTTGCTACCCATCAAACGGTACCTGTCTCATTAGCGAATGCAGGGGGCTGCGCATCACGATCGCGACTTCAGGGGGGAAGAAGGAACGTCCTCCGCCTGGAAATAGGTGGATTTTAGGCCGCGGCTCGTTGAACAAGATAGCCGGTGCGATGCAGTTGGTTCGCGATGCACCGGGGCGGAGCCGCGAGCGAAGTTTGGCGCGGCAGCTGGCAGTGGGGCATGACGTCGCGCACGTGCGGCCGCAGGTGCAGAGCTTCCAGCGTTCTTGGAAAAGACGTTATGCGCACGATTATAGACATGCTTCGGCGATAAATGTGTTTCTTGCAGTCCCATCGCGGTGTGGGCACTCGGAAAAACGCGTGTATCTCTGTGGAGAACATGTCGATCTGATTGGCCGAGGTAAGCAAATGGGCGTGGACTTTCTTTTCTTAGAAACAAACTACATCAGCCTCTTCATTTTGACGTCCTGTTTGAGCATGTGGTCCGGTATCAGTTGTCACAACAATGCAGAGGGGAACCAGGGTGTCCTGAATGGAACTATTGATTCCTGCTAGATAGATGATATCCAAGGTGCGACGTGCAAGCTGCGTTGCCAACGTGTCCTTTCGATCATCAAGTTGATATACCTTCATATGTAAAACCTCGTAAATGTTACCAATCTTGAGCATGTCAACGAACACCCCGGTAGAGATATCTGTCCAACGCCCAAGAAATATTCGCATGCGCTGCTGTCCATTCAAGATGGCAACTTTTGGGAACGTTAACGTCGCACCAGTGATGACAGCTCTGAACGGGCAGCTAGTTGGAGTCGTCTTTGTCGACGCCGACCTTGACTTCGAAGTGCTCCATGCCGCCAAAGCCGTGCTTGGACAACCAACCAGTGGGAACGACCGACTCAAACTGGGTCATCCAAGGCTCAGCAGACTCCTTCTTGAAGATGATGTGCAGGTAGGGCTTGGCGACGGCAGGGGTAGCAGGGATTACTACCCCAAGAGTTGCTGCCAGAGCTACCATAGCAGGGGCTGCAGGAATTGGAGCAGTGTCACGCTGGGCGGGCTTGCGATGAATACGAACTGATGCCAGTGAACGGCTACGAAGGATAGAGCGCCACTTTCCGTTCATGCTAGAGCATTGACGGTTTTGAAGGACGCGACGGCCGAACAGGCGGTAGCTGTAAGAGGGTCAGTGAATAGATCATTTGATGAAAGAGGCAGGGAAACTCACAGATCCTTGGCTTCACCATCAGTCTCGGCAACGTAGTTGGCCTTGAGGTAGCGACCGAACCCAGCTTCAATCTTGAGGCTGTTGGCCCAGATGTCAAGAAGAGTAAAGACCTCGATGCCATCACCAGCACGCTCCAGCTCGTTGGGCTTGTCTCCAACCGCGATGGTCAGGTTGCCGACAAAAGGCGCGTCCTCGCTGCGCTCTCCTGGAGGACCGAGGTTGGAGACGACATCTGTGGCGGTCGGATAGAAAGTCTTGAGGTAGTCCACGATCTCGGTGAGGTCCATGCCGATCTCCTGCTTGGCCATGTAGATGGGACGGTACTCAGCCCTGAGTTGACGGCATACCTGGGTAAGGCCCCAGAAGGGACGGTTAGTCTCTCGAGGCTCTGTCTTGGGCTTGGGCTTAGTCGAAAGACGAGACTTGTTGTTGCCGCCCGAGATCTTCTTTTCCTGGTCCTGGTCGACGATGTCAGACGCCAAAGTACGGCCGCGATCGAGACGAGTGCGGGGACGCAGTGAGGCGAGGCGCGGGCGGTAAACGAGGAGGGCCTGCTTGGGACGTCCATAGGTGTGCATGTAGATCTGGTTCCTGAGTTCTATCAACAGTCAGCTTGTGTCAAAAGGGTCAGAATCGCGTGACTTACCTCCGGGTAGGTCCATGAAGCGGAACGGCTTCTGCAGAGCGGGGTCGCTGGTGCCGACCTTCTCTTTGAGAGCAGCATCGACCAACTTAGCCATGGTGCCATCTGGCTTTTTCTTGGTCTTCTTCTTCACACCGGCATCAGTGCGCGCGTGGCCTCCACGCTTGCGCTTGCTCTGGCGGATGGGCAGGGCCTGGGCAGGGACAGGACTCATGTTGAGTGCCGCGAAGCCAGGTACAGGCAGTCCAGGGGAGGGCGGCACAGTCGCATGCTCCGAGCCCATGATGACGTTGAAACCGCCTTTGAAGCCATTTCGGCGTGAAGTTGGTGTAGAAGGGGCAGGAACGACTGGCGGATGACCAAACTTCCTGGGGGAAGAACGGGAAGGAGGTGGGGTGCTCGGGCGAGTAGGGCTGTCTGAGTTAGCAGAGTCCATCAAATCAATGCTGAGAGCTTTGTGGGGAAATGATAAGCTCTAAGTGTCAAGAAGGGGGACTTACGCCATGAGGTCTTGTACTTTCGGCTTGTTGCTGGGTTCGAGAGAAGCTGCTGATAGCGTGGGAAATAGTGATAATCAGATATTCAAGATAATTGCGGGATGTAGAAGTAATGGAGCGTAGACCATGGAGATTCTTTTATCTCTTGCGAAGTAAAGGTGAGCGAAGAAATGCCAACGATAATCGCCACCAGATTGTCTGACGGTGACTGGAGAAATTGCCTGAATCGGAAGTCACCTCGACATTAAGCCTCAGGTAAAAGAGCGGGGATGCTTGGCACTTCATTGTCATAATCGTATTTCGTGTTGGTATGATGGAGTTTGGAAGCAGGGATGTTGAATACGATGTCATTGTACCAATAATCCAAGAACGTGGAAGGAGCGCGTGATTCAATCGCGTGGTTGTGGGCAAGTCTTTCCTATTGTACCTACGAGGGAAGGCAGCATCGCAGTGCCAGTAGTTGCAGTCACGGCAACAGGTCATCAATCGAGATTACCCAGGTGTAGACCCTGAATATGAAGGTGAGGTGCCATTGTAGGTGGTAGCAATTGTGTAGAAAGCCATTCCCTTCAATTGTTACCTCCGGTATCGGGCTCGTGACCAAGAACACGAACGTGCCATTGTAGGGTATTGAAAAATGCTATTGTGGTGGAATGCGTCGTGACTTTGCTCCAGCGTGATCGCTTTTCCTTATCGTAGTGGTGGTATGATAGAGGCAGGTGAGGTGGGAGCCTGAAGTAGATAGAAAGTCCCTCTGTCGACCGAGTGGCTGTTGGGATGGTCGCGATGCAAGATACGGTGAGAATGCGCAACAATATATCGGAATGAGTGGTAATGGCACTGAGGGTACTAAGTACCGAGCGACGTTGTGATGGCTGTGGTGGGAGTACGAACAAACACCCTCTTATATGCAAGACGGTATCGAAAGCGGTAGAGCCTGGCAGAAATTAAAACTGCAACCCCACCAATCTGGAGGGGGATGAGATTTTACATGAGTAGATGCATTACATGAGGAAAGACCCGAAGGTTGTAGTAGAAGGAGTGGACCCTGAGAGCTGCCTGGGTCATGACGTCATCATCTCCGCATTGGCATATGCCATGTCTTCCAAAGACATCTGTGTACGGTGCGATCCGAACTCTGCTATCCCATGGTATAGTTTTCGATGTCTACATGACTTGGGATAGCTCCATGCGCAACCCGTTGTTTGCCGCTACGTCCGCTGGTAGACTGCACTCATTGACAGTAAACCCGTTAGGCCCTGCTTATTGGATTATACCACCAGAGTTTGATTTGCATGCCGCAAAAGGCCTCCAAGGCTGCTTTCATGCCACAAATTCCCTGAATCGAGGCGTCTCGTTCAAACTCTCCAACCTCTAGATAAATCTTGGAAGGCGCGTGGCGAGACTCGTGATAGATTATGATCCTGTCAAATACGTCTTCGCGTATGGCTGTGAGCCAGGTGGGGTTGTCGTATTGAAGAAGAAGCGACAAATTGTGGCAATCTCTCTCTGCCTAGACCCTGAGGCTGGGATCGGGCTCACCAGATTTACGGTAGGAATCCGTCAGGGTAACTTCAAAGTGAATCGATGTCCAGTGCGCGCGTATCCTTAGTAGCTCGTGCAGATCTCCAATCATATCCAAGCACGTAGCGGAATGGAAGATACAACCAAAGCACCGTTGACGTCTCGGTGGAACTTCCTTTTGATTCCCCTATAAAAGCCGCACGACGCGAGGACCGCCGCTCGAATCGGGCCCGGTTGGGTGGAATGTATCGAACCATGCCTGCATGAACTTGATTCTGTCCCAACGGAACGCGACTACCGCTTCACGGCACTGAATGGGCAGGTATTCAGCTCTGATTTGCCGGCAAACTTTCGTGAGCCCGGAGTCGGTACCATGAAGAGAGGGTTGCTCTTCAAACAACGAAGCGGTGTGGTACACTAGGTTGTAAAGTTCTGTCTATCGTCAGTTTTACGTCTTGCAAAAGAGGCGGAGAGAATCTCGTACTTGGTATAAGGTCGAGGGAGTGGAAAGCCATCGTGAATGTGCGGTAGGTCGAGAAGTGGATTGTAAGTCTCTTTGACGGTAGCTGTGAAGTGAGCTTGTTCGCGGATCGAAATCGGTATGCAGAGGAATCGCTATGTAGGCGGTGCGACCGTGTTATATATCTTTGCTCCTGACTCACATCTAAGTGCGATGCGAAACTTGGTTCGTCCACTTCGTCCTATGGTACTGCGGCGTGGAGCAGACTAGCGAATCACAACTTCCGAAATCTACATCACACCCAATCAATTCGTTTTCCTCGACCAAAATGTGCCGTTAGCACAAGAACTTGCACACCGCAAAGTGGCAAGTGAGCGGGGAGGAGCGCTCACGAAAGATGATTGACTACGTGAGCTCTACCAGGTTCCGAGCCGGCGTACAGTGAGCGCCGACATGCTCATAGCCTCTGAGAGATAAATGACATACTTGGCAACACAAAGTGGACAGGTGATTGGGTGTAACAACCAACTTTTCATCTGATTCTCCATACACTACATACTCGGTAACGCATGCTCATCAGGCGATACGCTTGAAAGCTCGGGCTGACCAGTTCTTCAAACCCGCTCAAGTGAACATAGGTGAAAGGTACAACGCAACATGATGGCCGTGTGATAGCGCGACGTCAAGACCGCGAGCGCTGCTCCATGCATCAGGCGCGCTGATCGCTTCATCGTAGTTCTTGGGGGCGTGGACACCCGTGAAGATGATACAAATACATGTAGTCTCACTAAATGATGCGCTTGATCTGATCCGGACATCTCCAATAGTCCCGTTCCTAATCTCCTCGCGCCACTTTTCGTTCGCATGGCAAGCAAGTGCGTTGAGACCACGAACTTGGTTCACAGTCCCGAAGAACATGGGGTGCTGTGCAAGACCATAGCGATTCGCAATGGCGGCGGGCACCATCTTGCAGTCCAGGTCAGGGTGGGTAGCCTTGAGCTTGAGAACCGGAAAGATGCTGAAGTGAGAGTCGGATCTGGAGGATATCGCGAACCATGCCTCGACGTGTATAGTATGAGGGAGGGACATGGAGTCTTCAGCTGTCGTCATGAATGCCCGAGCATAATGGCCAACATTTGCAAGGTCCAGCCGAACCTCAGCCATGTAACGTTGAACTGGGCGGTATTCTCGGCGGATCTGGACACACACTCTTGTGAGCGCAGCGTAGTTGCCGGACTGAAGAGAGGCATCGCATCGGATAGGAACGTGTGCGTCGGTGATTGACGCGAAGTGGTAGACTATATTGCGCAATTCTGAGAAATGTCAGTAGCTCCTCTCACGAGATACGGGTGAGGGAAGTAGCATACCTGGGTTGAGGTCGAGGAAGCGAAAGGCCATGATGACTGTGGTGCTTTCGAAACGAATGGGTGATTCGGACGACAGTAGTATCTGACGAATACAATGATGTAAACGTGGTGGCTTATCGGGAGTTTGATAGCGAAGGTAGTGACTCGTTGTAAGCGAGGACCGGAATTACCTAGGTAGTTTATCCGCACGTGAGCCCAGACAGTAGCGCTATGACCTATAGAGAGCGGTGAGTCACTGACAGCGTACTCATTACATAGGGAGTGATGGATGATTGCACTTTGTATCTACCTGTGTATCATATACATCTGGGAAGTAAACTTCAATGGACGCCCCAGTACCCAGTACTAGTCTTCACGCAGATAAAATTGGAAATCGACCACATGATCATGCGATGCCGGAGCCTGCAGGCCATGGGAGATACGCCACTCCTTGGAATCTCTCATTGTTTCTGACCGTTCCCTGCAACCAAGCATACCCACGAAGACAATCTCAATCCGTGTGAACCCGCTCTGCATCTCTATGTAGACTTCGCCAATGGAACCGTTGCTGATACACGAATGCCAGTCCTTGTTTGAGTGAAGGAGCAGCGAGTTCAGAGGTTGTGCTTGATTCGAGGCGATGGTCGCTAGAGTAGCCGCGTCATGCGGGCCACTTCCTATGGATCGAGGCCCCGTTGGGATAGTAGTGGGCACGATCCTGATGTCCAAGCGGGGGTTCTGGGCTTTGACTTTGAGAACTGGAAGTGAGTCGAAACCCAGAGTCCAAGTGAGAGATATCCGGACGTGAACCTCAAGAGGAACGACCGTCATGTCCGCGGCTGAAGTGAGAAAGGTTCGAGTAAACACGTCAAGGTCTGAAAAACTTAGGGAAAGCTTGGCCTTGCGACGCTGAATTGGTCGATATTCAGCTCGAATTTGCACGCAAGCTCTCGTAAGACCCGCATAGTTGCCGTCGTCTCCATGAGACAGCCGGGATATAGCCAGCGGCTCGTCACCGACCGCCGCAGCGATCTCGTAGATACGGTTGCGCAGCTCTACATAAAGTCAGCGCTGTTTAAAGTGCAAGTCAAGTGAATAGAGTGAAAGACTGAAATTGCGTACCTGATGGGAGATCCAGAAACCTGAAGACCATTTTTGCGCACCCTTGCGTTGACGGATGTTGTTGGTGTTCAAGTCTGATGTAGAGTTGTGTGTGTACAGTGTAATTGAGGGAGCAAGATTGATGTGAGTGTGTGGACGGGAGTCATCTAGCGGCAGCCCGTGCACATTAAGCGCGGAGGCTCATCGTGCTTTTCAAGAGTGTAGGAAGGTACAACTGAGCACGTTCTGCTAGATCTACAGCGACACAATACAAGCTATCTCATACGCACGAGCTGCGTCGACTACTCTTGTGCACCACAGTGATTGGCCGAGAGGCTCGACGAACGGAACGCCTTATACCGAAGAAGTTTGGCTGAAGAGAGTCACCGAAGATTGTCTTCAAGTGCCGAGGGATTTGGACGGCTACCCCATCGTCGTGTGCTAGACCACGGGAATATTGTTGCCCTCCTCACACACCAAATGACCGTGTCTAGCATCATCCGCTACATTGACAGTTCGCACCGTACCGAACAAACTGCCGCGCGCAACATAGAATCCGGTTGCCGCAAAGGACGTGGTATAGCTGCCACGTTGCAACGTCTGGGAAACGAGTTGATGAGAGACAATGAAGTCGAGTTTGTCTGACTAATCTTTTGCAGCAATAAGCACCTCCGAGATTCCAGCCGAGCCAAAGCGCACTCAACACCCAGCAAAGTATCGTGGAAGGAAGTCACAAAAGAACAACGCAGTCGGTAGAAGACACGGTACGAGCCGCGCGCTCAGAAGGAAGGTAAGCCGAGCGCAACGGGCACCATCCCAATTCAGGAACCATCCCGCCCCATCCGGACGACAGTCCTCCAGATTTGCCCCGCAACACCACCCCGTGACGCAATGCCATCCCATGTTTTGCTCGGCGGGGTAAAAGATGCAGCGTCAGAGTCGCGGCCTTTGAGCCTCACTCGGCAGACCTTCCTCCGCCGAATCTCACGCGTCTAGATACATAAGTGTCGACCTCCGACTCCGACTTCTTACTATACAGACTGCAAGTTAACTCGTCTTTTTCGTAATTCACAACGCTTTTACAAGCTTCTACAGCAGACCTTTCTCCCCAAGAAACCGCCAAGATGTCCATGTCCGTCGAAGAATGCCAGACGCCGCGCGCCGGGTTCCCCAAACCCGTGCCGGACACACCCACAAACGTCATGCAACAATTCAGCATGAAAGGCAAAGTCATCGTCGTCAACGGCGCAGCCGAAGGAATTGGTGGAGCCGTAGCCGACGCCATGGCCGAAGCAGGCGGCAACGTAGCCCTGTGGTACAACTCTAACAGCGCCGCCATAACCCGCGCGGAGAACCTCGCAAAGACACACAACGTCAAGACAAAAGCCTACAGCGTGAACCAGATCGACGCCGCGACAGTCCAAAAAGCCGTGCAACAAGTGGTTGAGGACTTTGGCCGCATCGACGTCTTCGTCGCAAACGCCGGCACAGGAGATAGCAAGCCGCTCCTCGACCAAACCCTCGACAGCTACCACAACCTCATGAAAGTCAACGTCGACGGCCCCGTTTTCTGCGCCAAGTACGCCGGCGAGGTATTCAAAAAGCAAGGATTTGGCAACTTGATCCTCACCAGCTCCATCTCCGCGCACATTGTTAATGTACCCATCGACCAACCCATCTACAACGGTACCAAGGCGTTTATCTCGCATTTGGGCAAGTCGCTGGCGAGGGAGTGGAGGGAGTTTGCGAGGGTGAACATTGTGAGCCCGGGGTTCTTTGATACGAAGATGGGGGCTGGGCCGCAGGTTATCAATGAGGGGTTGAGGATGATTCCGCTGGGGAGGCAGGGTAATGTTAAGGAGATTAAGGGGTTGTTTTTGTATTTGGGGAGTGATGCGTCGAGCTATATGACGGGGAGCGATTGTATTATTGATGGTGGGTATGTACTACCATAGATGTGTAGTGGATAGAGGAAAGGAATTGATACCATGTCTGCTGTTCATTGAATACAGGAAAGCTATACTCGTTGCCTTCGTTGTTGCATTTCCAATCGTAAACATTCCTTTAGATCTTCGAAACGTTTGATTACGGTGAAAGGTTGTAATTAAAAGGTATATGTGCTCGCTAAGCCCAGATGAAAAGAAATTGGAAACACGATGAAGATTCTACTCGTCTTTACTCCTCGCCCTATCCAGGCTCTCCCGCTCGGTCGTCTCACCACTTCCCGCTTCAACACCTTCGCTTCCCTTGCTCTCTTCATCCCTCCTCTTGTCTTGAGCGATATCTGGGGCAGGTGCAAAGTTACTCTTCCCTCGGATTCTCTTACCGAATACATAGAAGACCACTGGCATCGGTACAAGTACGAGCGCCACGCAGCCAAGCAGTGTACTGGCCCATTGGATTCCCATACCGTTGAACATGAAGGTCGCGAATAGTGGGAAGACTCCACCAAACATGGAACGCATGAAGGTGTTTGCTGCAATAGCGGAGGCGGCAAACATGAGGTACGCGTCGACAATGTAGTTGAGGAGCGAGAGGAAGATGGAGAAGATTCCGAAGCCGGTAAAGAGACCACTCAAAACAGGGACGATCCAGTGGACATTGCCTGTGTAGCCGGTCCATCCGAACCAGAAGAGACCAGCAGCGAAGAGGACACCGCCGACCATGCTGATGGGTAGCCGCCATTCTGGAACAGGGATGTTGTTGTTGGCTTCCAGCTTTTTGATGTATCGTGGGTTGTCGACGACAATGATGATGAAAGCGATGACTTCACCAGCGACCATGCCGAAGTAGGCAAGTCCGCCGATACCGGGACTCCAGCCGTAGACTCCTTGGAAGACGAGAGCGTATGCGGTAAGAAAGAGGTAGAGTAAACCATCTAGAATCATTAGCCCAGTTCTTGTAACGAGATGGGTGATCCAACTTACAGATAAAGCTCATATAGATGGTGATGAGCAGTACAATAGGCTCGGTGAAGAGAATGCGCATCGGTCGGCTGACGTTCTTAACGATCAGCTCCTTGAAGTCGACTTCAATTTCCTCCTGCTTCGCGTGGATACCCCAGTTCTTGGTTCGTCTCCTGAGCTCGCTCGCCTTGTTGATCAGCACGACAGGCGGGTATGTCTCTTCCATGAAGAAGAAGAGTAGAGCAAATGACAAAAACCCCATGAAACTGCTGATGTATTCGGTCCATCGCCATCCAAGATCACTCTGGGTGATGAATCCTCCTATGAAGGGGGCGAGTAGAGGACCCATGAAGACGGTTGCGGAGAAGACTGCGACTGCGAGACCGCGAAGCTTGTTGTCGAACATATCCGCAAAGACAGCGGCCACAATGGCGAGTGGAGAGGAGCCAAAGAGACCGGCGAAGAATCGACATATCATGATAGTCTGGATATCTTTGGCTGCGGCGACCGCAATGCTGAAGATGGCGAAACCAAAGGCGGCGATGATGAGGGGAGGTTTTCGGCCGTACAACTCGGAGAAAGGCGCCCACATCTAGAAGTTGTTAGCATATCTGATCGCATGTCTATGGTCAGCGTTCACTTACCAAAGGCCCAAAAGCATATCCGAAGACGAACAAACTGGTTCCTAGAGTACCCACAACGTTGGCAACACCGTATTGTTGCGACACTGCTCCGGTAGCGGCCGAGAAGATACTGCTACCCATGGTGGCTGTGAGGGCGTCAAATGCTAGGATAGCACCAATGCCAATCTTCTTCTTCATTGGCCAGTTCTGCGCATGCAACGGATCGTCGACGCCGTCGAACTCGACTACATATTCTTCCCTGTCCGGTAGCAGCGGGGGGAAAGGCTTGCCGGCTCCTAGGTTCGGCAATGGCTTCTCTGTACGACGGCGTGTAAGGGTCCTCGACAACCGTGAATCGACCCGCGATGCACCAACTGTGCCTGCATGCTGGCTCCTGTGTGTCTCGATCCGACGTATCGCTT